CCATCTATCCATCCATCCATCCACCCACCCATCTATCCATCCACCCACCCATCTATCCATCCATCTATCCATCTATCCATCCACCCATCCACCCATCCACCCATCCATCCACCATCCATCCATCCATCCATCTTAAATTTGAAATTTAATTTAAATTTTTAATTAAAAAAATTAATTTTAACTTGAATTTTAAAACTTAAATATAACTGTATTTTTTAACTTTTTTAAAATTTAATTTAACTCGAATTAAAAAACTTCAAGTTTCAATTTCAAAAAAAGAGGACAAAGACAGTTTTTGCATCATGTAGGTTCTACTACACAGAATTTTCCAAAGGAGGTGCTGAGAGAAGTGGATGCCTTAAAAATTCTTCAAATTTCTTAAAATTAAATGTAATTATTTTTCTTAATTTAAAATTTAAATTTTTAACTTACATTTTAAAACTTAAATCTATATTTAATGTTTAATTTTTTGTTAGTACTTAATTTTAACTTACATTTAAAAACTTTAATTTCAAATTTTGAAAAAGAGGACAAAGACAGGTCCTGCTACACACCCAAATTTTCCAAAGCAGGTGCTGAGAGAAGTAGATGCCTTAAAAATTCTTCAAATTTCTTAAATTCAAATGTAATTATAATTTAAAATTTAAATTTTTAAGTTATATTTTAAAACTAACTTCAATTTTTAGAGGGGTTTTTTTTAGTATTTAATTTTAACTTACATTTAAAAATTTCAATTTTAAATTTTGAAAAAGAGGACAAAGACAGGTTCTGCTACACACCTGAATTTTCCAAAGCTGAGAGAAGCAGATGCCTTAAAAATTCTTCCGATTTCTTAAATTTAAATGTAATTTTTTTTTTTTAATTAAAAATTTAAAATCAGGGATCCAAACAATTTCTCCTTCTCCCAAAGCCCCAAAAGTTCCTCTCCGGCAGCAGATGGAGCAGAATCAGAACATAAATCATCTATTTGAATTGTTACCAGTAGATGGCACTGGCTGGTTGGTTTGGGATAGTAGAACCACGACTTTGGAATATCCACACTCTTGGGATCTGCCGGTTTGGGATGGGAAGGGCTCACACAGGGATTTTGAGGAGCTGCCGGGATCCAGGATTGCCCGGGATCCAGGATTGCCCGGGATCCAGGATTGCCGGGGATCAAGGATTGGTGGTGTCCCTCCATCGGCCAGCAAGACTTTAGGGCATCATCTCTTTATAAAGCAGCAGAAAGCCCCTGATGGAAGTGGGGTTTTCCAGCCCTCGGGATCTCTGAGGCAACTCTGGAATTCCAGCTCTGCTCTCAGTTCCCAACTCCTGCAGAATTCCCCCTGAACGGGCGGGAAGGAGCTGCCGCTGTGGGAGAAGGGATGGGGGAACTTGCCCGGCTGGGGGAGGCTGCTCCCAGCAGGAGGAGATATTTCCATACAATCAGAGAATTCCTAAGTTGGAAAGGATCCACCAGGATCAGCCAGTCCAACTCCTGCACAGGACACCCCAATGATCCCACCCTGTCCCTGAGAGCATTGTCCAAATGCTCCTTGAGTTCTGACAGCCTTGGAATTCCCTGGGGAGCCTGTTCAGTGCCCAGACACCCCCTGGGGGAAGAACCTTTTCCCAAAATCCAACCTAAACCTCCCCTGGAGCAACTCCAGCCTTTCCCTCATGTCCTGTAATGGGTCATCACAGAGAAGAGATCAGTGCCTGACCCCTCTGCTTCTCCTCACCAGGAAGTGGGAGCCAAACTCCGAGCTGTCCCCTCAGTCTCATCTTCTCCAGCCGGAATATTTGGCTCTGTTACTACATTTTTTTTACAGGGAATTCACAGATCCATCAAAGCTGCTTGCGGTCCCTCTAAATCCCTGCTCTTTTTTGGGGGGGAGCTGCTGAGCCCCCCAGGCAGCGTTTGGGCTCAACTCCCGCCACACCCTCCTTGTCTTTGCTGCTGGGGTTTGGTGTTTTCCTCCCTGATATATCCAAGCTTTGCTGTTGCCTCCAAACCTGCTTAGTTTTGGACACCACCAGCTCCTGGTCAGGAAGCCGCAGCCTTGTGTCACCTTTTGTGTCACCTTTTGTGTCACCTCGTGCCACCTCAGAGCTTTTGTGTCCCCTCTGCAGCCCAGTCCTTACGATGCTACACGTGCAAGGAGCCCACGGACATCTCCAAGTGCAAAACAGTCACCTCGTGCCCCCTCAAGGCCAACGTGTGCACCACAACCCTGCACTCCGTGGACTCGGGTGAGTCCCACTGATTCCTGGGAATGCTCCTGGGGAGGGAGCAGAGACTCACAGCATGGGTTGGGACGGAAGGGATCATCCAATTCCATGGGCAGGGACACTTTCCACTAGATCAGATTGCCCAGCTTGGCCTAGAACACTTCCAGGGATGGGGCAGCCACAGCTTCTCTGGGAATTCCATTCCAGCCTCTCATCACCCTCCCAGCCAAGAATTCCTTCCCAGTATCCCATCTAAATCTATCCTGTCAGTTTAAAACCATTCCCCTTTGTTCTGCCACTCCATCCCTTATCCCAAATCCCTCTCCAGCTCTCCTGGAGCCCCTTTAGGCCCTAGAAGGAGCTCTCAAGTCTCCCTGGAGCCTTCTCTTCTCCAAGTGAACCCCCCCAGCTCTCCCAGCCTGGCTCCAGAGCAGAGGAGCTCCAGCCCTTGGAGCATCTCCATGGCATCCTCTGGACCTGTTCCAACAGGTCCAGGTCATTCTTCTGCTCAGAGCTCCGGATCTTGATGCTGTGATCCAGGTGGGATCTCACCAGAGCAGAGTAGAGAGGCAAAATCACCTCCCTCGACCTGCTGGACACGCTTCCCTCTCCCATCCCACTCCCAGCTTGGATTACCCTTTAACTCCTCTATGGTATCCAGGTGAAATTATCCCACTGTAAAGAGGGAAGGAGAGGAATCCCTCAGATTTGAAGCCTCGTAGTGAAGTACACAATGCTCATTATGTATATATTAGGGATTTTAAAAAATATATATTGTTTTTATTTATATATATTAGATAATTTCTTAATTTTCATATTTTTATATATTTTACGTATATTTATATATTACATTTGGATCAAGGCATTAAATAAATTGATCTAAATGTATATAAATATAAATATATTATATACATATAAAATATATAAAATATATGTATTTATATGTTATATATTTTATATAAATATATAAATATGTATTTATATATTTATTTATCAATAATTTTTTATTTATTGATAAAATATCAATAGAAATGTATCATATATAAATATATAAAACATAAATCTAAATATAAAATTATAATATAAAATATAAGTATAAAATACAAATATATAATATAAATATAAATATGAAATTATAAACACACAAATATAAATATAAAATATAAATATAAAGATAGAAAACATTTTTTATTATTTTTTAACCTATATTTTTAAAAGTATACTTTGCTCTGGTTTTTTTGCCTTTCCCACCCCTGTGCCCTTACAGGCCCTGAATTTATAGCTGTATTCAAACTTTGACAGGGATTTGTGTCCCTTTACCACGCTGGAATAATTTAGCAAGGAGCAGGAGGGTTAGAGAGAGTCAGCATCAAGAATTTGTGGCCCTAATCCCGCAAAAAATAGCCTGGATTAGAGGCATCCGTGGATTAAAGACATCCAACACCTAATTTTCCTGTGCTTTTCGATGCCAGCCGCCTGCACTTCCTTTACCGCTTCTTCCCCTCTCTTACCTTCTCCCCGCTCTCCAATCTGCCTCTTCCAGGTTATCCCTTTTTTGGGAACATCACGGTGACCAGGAGCTGTGAGGAGGAATGTCTGCCCAACAACGGCATTGGGGACAACAAACCCAAGTCCTGCTGCTACACCGACCTGTGCACCAGCGACACCAGGGCCAGCAGCGGGGTCAGGAGCAGCTCCTCGGCCCTGCCTCTGGTGGCCCTGCTGCTTGGGAAGCTCCTCCAGTGCTCCCTGTAGTGTCCCAAGCCAAAACACCCCCTCCCCTCTCTCTGCCAAGGGAACTCTTCGATCCCTTGGGAATGACCTCCTCTGCTGCTCCGTGGCTTCACTCATCTCCCAACACTGAGAACTCAAGTGGATTCAAGCCAAGAGTTTGGGCACCTGGAGTTAAAGCCCTCGAATTTCCAGCTTCTGGGTGCCAACCAGATATTTCCTCACCTTCAGCTGCTTTTGGTCCACTTTGGAACTTCTTGGTTCTGTAGAATCATGGAATGGGTTGGGAAGGGACCTTCAAGATCAGCTCATCCCAATCCCCTGCCAAGGGCAAGGACACCTTCCACTAACCCAGGCTGCTCCAAGCCCCATCCAACCTGGCCTGGAACAATTCCAGGGATGGGGAAACCACAATTTCAACTTCCCTAGGCAGCTCTGGTGCCACCTCCTGAGTCAGAGGAGCAGATGGATCTGGTCCTGGTTTTCTGCCTGCCCATCAGAGCGTGGATGGCAATGGCAGAGAGCTGGCACTTCATTTGGTCAGGAATAAGCTATGGAATGAGTTCAGAAGGGCTCAGATTCCATAGGTTGGGATGGGATGTGTTTCTGGAAAGCTCAGAACATTCCCCAGACTCACCAGGCCAGGGTGGGTTAGACCTGGAAAACCAAATCTGGGAATTTGGCCACACAAACCTCTCAGGATCCTCTGCCTGAGCTCAGGTCGCAGCCAGAGCTCCCAGATTTCCCTTCCCAGATGTTTTACACACTATTCCAAGCAAATTCTTCTGTCACTCTGCCCTCCCCTCATCCCTCCACAGCAGGAAAGGAAAAGGAATGATTATCCCAGACCCTCAACTCTGGGAAAAGCCAGTTACCAGCACTCCTGGATATCAGCTGGGATTTGCTTGGAGCACCTGTGGGATTGACTCTGCTGTCCTGTCTGCTGGAAAAGCAGCTGGAGTGGAAGCAGATAAGGCTGAGCCAGGTGTTCCCAGCTCCCAGCCCTCTCCAGGGTGGAAGAACCAGGGAATTTGCCATTTGCTCTGTTCCTGCAGCCAGGGCTCATCCAGGGCAGCAGGAACCCCTTGGCAGAGCAAGGGCAGAGTGGGGCATGGGCACAGCCCGGGCACCATCCATGGACACAGCCTGGGCACCATCCCTGTGTGCTCAGGGCACCCCTGCAACCTCCTCTGGGCCAAAGGCCATTTTCCCTTCCCCTCCCTTTTTTTTCCTCCTTCCTTTTTCCTCCTCCTTCCTTTTTTCTTCTCCCTCCTTTTCTCTCCTTCCTTTTTCTCTCCTTCCTTTTTGCTCTCCTTCCTTTTTTCTTCTCCTTCCTTTTCTCTCCTTCTTTTTTCCTTCTCTTTCCCTTTCTCTCCTTCCTTTTCTCTCCTCCTTTTTTCCTTCTCATTCCTTTTCTCTCCTCCTTATCTCTCCTTCCTTATCTCTCCTTTCTTTCTCTCCTTCCTTTTCTCTCCTCCTTTTTTCTTCTTCTTTCCTTTTGTC